GCTGCCCTGAGACCCTCTCACTGATTTCCAGACCCATGAAGAAAAACACTAATTGGGGAAGCTGTGTCAGGTGAAGTTGAGCCCTCTGAACATCTCTCATTTCTGGAAGGCAGTCTGTTCTGATCATTTTGTTTTATAGATGAAGAGGCAGGTTATATTCAGGAGGTCACAGTATAAGGGCACTGGTGAATGCTTCTGGAGTTGAGTCTTAGCCTCTGTGAGGCCTCCACTTCCTCTAGTCCTTAGCTGGCCCTCACATGACCAGAACAAGCAGCTGCTGACTTGAATAATGAGAACATAAGAAAGGGGCTCAAACTCAGATCTGTGTTCTTACTCTTCAGGCTACATGCCCCTCTTAGAATTCTAGAATTTGGTAAGACTTGTAAATGCATGTTTGGCAAAGCTACATAAGGCCACATGTTCAGACTGAAAGGCCTAGTGTGTTCCACACTTACTCTTTTTTGGAACTGGGTGACCTTAAAGCTGTCAACTTGGGACTAGAGAGTTGGCCCAGCTGTTAGAGCACTTGCTGCCCTTGGAGAAGACTTGAGTTTAGCTCCCAGCATCCATATACTGGCATACAACCACCTGTAACTCCAACTTTAAGGAATCTTCTGGCTTCCGTGGATACCTATGCAAACACACATACCCACATGCTGGAGAAATGCTAAGAGCATTTATTTGCTGCTCTTCCAAAGAACCTGGGTTTGCTCCCAGAATCTTTATCAGACACCTCCATAGGCACCTGCACTCACGTACACATACCTACATGTGACCTACACCTACTCATTTTGTTTTTGAGATAAGGTCTCACTATGTAGTCTTGGCTGTCCTGGAACTCACTAGGTAGAACAGGCTGGCCTTACACTGCCTCTGCCTCCCAAATGCTAGGGTTAAAGTCATGTGCCACCATAACCAGCTTTACGTACACATGATTTAGATGTGTTTTTTAAAATAAATGTTTTTCTGAAAAAGCTACTGAAATTTGGTGTAAGATAGTGCTTTCACCTAAATTGGCTTCTGCTTCCTAGTACCCAGCAGCAGGAGCATGTCAGGAGTGGCTAACATCCATCTTTCCAGCCTAAACTATCTGTTCTTATTTTCTTGGAGGATTTTGATTCTGAGTGTTCAGCAAAGCTTTGCTGGCAAGTGGTGAGAGGTGGCTAGGGGGTCTTGAGCTTAGTTCTCAGCACCCATGTAGGGTGAGGAACCCAACTAGTCTCTAGTCTCTAAGGACATAAGTATTCATGAGTGTGCACACAATTAAAATAAATCTTTTAAAAATAAAAGCAGGAGCTGGATGACAGTGGCTCATGCCTTCAATCCCAGCACAGGCAGAGGCAGGGAGATTTCTGTGAGTTCCAGGCCAGCCTGGTCTACGAAGCTAGTTCCAGGACAGCCAGAACTACACAGAGAAACCATGAGAAACAGGAAAGAAAAGCTCAGTAGCACCACAGAAAGCTTTTTTTTTTTTTCCATTCAACTGGAAGCTATGTAAGACATAGGAAATAGACAAGAAAGGGGTTAAAATGCTACAAGAGATTGACAAGGTTGATCAGCAGTAAAGGTGCTGGCCACACACGTCTAGAGACCTCCCTTTAATCCCCAGAACCCACAAAAAGGTTGGGAACAGATTCCACAAAATCGCCCTCAAACCTCTCTCTACATGAGCCTCTCCCCCATAATAACAGTTCTGAAACATGACTCAAAAACTACATGTGTGATGCCCAGTTCAGCAAATAGAGGTGCTTGCCACCAAGGCTAATGGCCTGAGCTCCACCCAGAGCCCACACAGTAAAAGAAAACCAAGTACTCACACAAGTTCTCTGACCTCCACACATGACCTGCTCATGTGTGTGCACACACATTCCAGATAAGTGATACAAATTTAGTGTTAGCTGGGGCTTTAAGTGATATGTCAACTAATGTTTATGAAATGCCAGCATTCCATACATTATGGAGAACTTGCACTCTAGATACATCTCAATATACATCCCAGTTCTATGATTTTGAGTCCCCTAAGGGTAAAGTTCAGTAACTTAGCAAAGTCACATCTGCAGGTGAGCCACAAAGCTCACATTCTGACATTATCTTCTCCAAGGAACTTTACCCACCTTAGTCTTCTGCTGTTCTGGGGTTCCACTCACAGGAACCCACCTCCTCTTCCCAGCGCACCTACTCTGCCCTTCCAGAAACTTCAACTCCTCTGGTGGGGGGGGGAGTACAGCTTTCATTCTGCCTTTGAAATGACTGAATTCACAGATGGCCAGCCCCATTAGAGTGGGTTGCTCAGAGATGGAGCCTTGGTCCAGGGCCCAGGACAGAGCAACCCACCATGACCATTGACAAACTGAAGTCTGAGAGGAGGCTCCCCGGCTGGCTAAACCATTTTACTTCACAGGGATGTGAAGCACTGTGGAAAGTAGGCAGCCATCTCCTAAGCTGAGATGAATGATCCCCCACACGCACCCACTAAGGACCAGTCCCATGCTGGGCAGTGGTGGCACACGCCTTTAGTCCCAGCATTTGGGAGGCAGAGGCAGACAGATCTCTGTGAGTTCAAGGCCAGCCTGGTCTACAGAGTAAGTGCTAGGAGAGACTCCTGAGCTACACAGAAAACCTGTCTCTAAAAACAAAAACAAACAAACCAGTCCCATGCTGGGCTGCTTGTAGTAAGTAGCCTGGTAGCCCAGCATTGCCTAGAAGGTAACTTGAGAATTACAGGTGGAGTGGGGGTGGGGGTTCTTGGTGGTGTGGTGTCTGGCACAGAGGGCATCAAGAGGGGATGACTGTGGGCAAGAGATTCAAGAGCTCCTGAACAAAAAATGTATGCAGAACATCTTACCGCCTTCCTCAGTCATCAAGCCCTATGAATTCAACCCCCAACCTTCACCCCAAACTTCACTCCATCATTGTCAGTCCCCTCCCCTATTGCTATATCTGTCTCCAACTTCAGCCCCTGACTTGTCTCCCTCCCACCCACATATCCCTCGGTATTCTAGCTCTAACCTCAATGTGGGTAGTTTCAAAGACTACTTGGCAGCATCGTCCTTAGAAATCCTGCATTTTTCCCTTTTCTTCTTTTCATTCTCCTCCTCCTTATCCTGTTTGTTGTTTGAAGCAGGTTCTTACTATGTAGCCATGAAGCCAGCCCTGGCCTTGAACTTGCAGCGATCTCCCTGCATCCCCAGTCACCCTTCGTCTTTATGGGAGCTTTGAAGCAGTATAGAAATTGATCTGTTGGGTAAAAACACTACCAATGACTACTCAAAGCATTTAGTTGATACTTGAAGCAAGGCTGGAGAGATGGCTGGACAGTTAAGAGCATTTGACTGCTCTTGCAGAGGACGTGGGGTCAGTTCCCAGAGCATCAGGTGGCTCACAACCGGCTGTCACTCCAGTTGCAGGATACACAGGAAGTGCACACATTTAAGAAAAAGAAAAATTTCAAAGGATCACCTCAGCAAGTTTTCGTGACCATTATACATTTATTTGGATTTTTATTCTGAATCTACTCTGGAGAATCCATAACTGGCCCAAATTCTCATGTAGCACCACCTACAAGGCCATTTATGGTCCCCTGGAAGCCCCGCCCCCAGCAGCCGCCATTCACCTCCAGCCAGTTAAGCAACCAGAGGTAAGGTACTTGACTTTGGTGTGCCTCGGTTTCCCCATCTGTTAAGAAGAAAAGTTTTGCTGGACACAGTAGCACATGCTTTAATCTCAGAGGCAGGCAGGCGTAAGCAGGCATATCGCATGTGTTTGAGGGCAACCTGATCAGTAGTGGAACGTTTCAGGTCAGCCAAGGCTACAAAGTGAGAACCTGCCAAAAAGAAAAAAAAAAAAAAAAAAAAAAAAAAAAGAAACAAAAAAGGAAGGAAAGGAGGGAGGGAGGAAGCAAGAAAGGGAGAAAGAGAGGGAGAGAACGAGAGGAGGGAGGAAGGAAGAAGGAAGGAAGGAAGGAAGGAAGGAAGGAAGGAAGGAAGGAAGGGAAAAGACAGCTGTGTGCCCCTTAATGGCATATGAACACTAATAGACCTGGAAGTGCTGCTACCTGCCATTGGACACTCCCAGCCTTGACACAGTCACTCCCTCTGCCGGGCACTTTCCTCCCACTGACTTCCGGAACCTTTACGATGGAGGAGTTAAATCTGTGGCAGCAGCCAGGGGAGGCGGGAGTGCAGAAAGGGGTGTAAGGTAGAGAGTTGTCCCCGGGTCCCTATCTTGCAAGCTGCTGTAAGCTATCACAAATGAGAAGCTAAGCAAAGGTGGCCCCCACCCCTTCGGGAGGCTCCAGAGCCCATCCCGTGTTGGATCAGCAACGGGTCGGGTGAAGGTGCCTGGCGCCCCAAGAGAAGCGGGGCGCTTGGTCCTGGCTGCTGCCGGCAATAGAATGTGCCCCACCCTCGCGGCACAGCTGGCACCAGCCCAGCCCAGATGGCTGAAACTATATTTGGGCTCCATCTATGTCGCTATGCCTAGGAGAAGGGCCACGCTGCGGGTCTCACCGCTGCCCGGGGACTCAGGATCCCACCCATCCCAGGGCTCAGAGACCCCGACGTCTCCGCACGGAGCCCGGCGTGCGCCCCGGCAGCTGGATGGGGACCCAGGTCACACTTGAAGGCCTTTCCCCAGCCGGCCCCAGCTGCCTACCTCGGGGTCGCACCAGGTGCTCCCACTCCCGGGTGCAGCAGTAGCTGTGCTTACACTGGGCGGGGCGGCAGTCTGTCCCGTTCGGGCCCGCCCCCGAGCCCCCATTGGTTGGCCTGGGAAGGGGCGGGGCCGAGGAAGCTCTTGCGGGTCTGTGGGGCCACAGGAGATCCCCTCGGGGACACTCGCGGGTGCCGCGCCACAGGAGCCCAAGTTGTTTTGCGGAACCTACGGGTTCAGCAACCGATTGCAGAGCGCGTGGTGCGCACTCGCTGCAGAACTGCCCGCGACAGGTGCAAACTTGGGGTCCGCTGCGCCTTTCGGTCCTGGCCGTCCGGTGTCCTGCCGGGCCCGGACATCTACGGGTGGATGAGAGTCTGCTGAGCGTCCGAGATGGCCGTCCGTCCCGGGCCGCTCTGGCTGCTGGGCCTGGCTCTGTGCGCTCTGGGCGGCGGCCACAGCCCACGTCCCCCACATACCTGTCCCCAGCGTCGCCTGGGAGCGCGCGAGCGCCGAGACATGCAGCGAGAGATCCTGGCGGTACTCGGGCTGCCTGGGCGGCCCCGACCCCGAGCACCACCCGCAGCCTCCCGGCAGCCAGCGTCCGCGCCCCTCTTCATGCTGGACCTGTACCACGCCATGGCTGATGACGACGACGGCGGGCCCCCTCAGCCTCAGCTGGGTCGCGCCGACCTGGTCATGAGCTTCGTCAATATGGGTGAGTGCGAGGAGGACCCGGGGGTGTCGCAGACTCCGTGCGGAGTGGGCACGGCCTGCCTGTCTAGGGATGATGCCCTTGGGTAGTGCAAGGCCCACTGGGACAGGGAGCCAAGGTGCAACAGAAACCACAGGGAAGAGGCAACTGTAGGGGTCAGGGCTGAAAGGTCTGAGGGTTAGCGCGGGTTTCTAGGGTCTTTGCCCATCAAGGCGCGCGCCCAGGAGTGGGAATCTGGTGATGCCCAGGTCCCCCAGAAGACGGTTGGTCCTGGGAAGACTGATGAATAAACAGAAGCTGTGATGCTGTCATTGTGATAAACGCAACCCTGAAAAGAGGGACAAAGTTCAGTGCAGAAGCCTGTGGTCATATCGTCAAAGTGACCAGAGCTGACCCACACGCCCTGACGGCAGGTTCCTTCTCTGCAGCAGGAAGCGGGTGGGTGGGGTGCACTGTCGGGAGGTGGAGTGGACAGACTCAGATCATGACTGTAGTTTTGTGGGACTGGGCCCCAATACCTGGACCTTGGTCTGACATGGAATGAGTGTTCAGGCCAGTGAATGATGCAAGGGGCAGCTGTGAGTCCATTCTCCGAAACTGTGGCTCCTCCTTTCTCCGTGGATCTCTAGACCTCAGGGCCACCTTCTATAGTCTTTTATTTTTTTAATTTATGTGTATGAGTGTTTTGCCTGCACAACGTCTATGTGCCACATCCGTTGGTGCTGGAAGAGGCTAGAAGAGGGCATCAGATACCGTGGAACAGTTGTGAGCAGCCATATGTGTGCCGGAAATCAAACCCAGGTCCTCTGGAAGAGCATCTAGTGCTTGTAACTTCTGAGCCATCTCTCCAGCTACACCCACCACCTTTAAAAATATTTTCTTTTATGTATATGAGGTTTTGCCTTCATATATGGATGTGTACCATGTGCATGCAGTGCCTCATGGGGACAGAAGAGGGCGTCAGATCCTCTGGGACGGAGTCAAAGATTATAGGAAGTCATGAATGGCAGGTGCTCTTAACCACGGAGCCAACCTCCAATAGTCTGAGAAGCATTTTTCCAGAATACCCTTTCATCACAGTTGGTCAGGTCCCCGCCTGCTCTGCTGATGTTTGTGGTGGGTGGGGGCCTAGGCAGATCCTAGGATGGGTCCATCTGAGGCCAGGCCTTGAACTGAGAGCAGTTCACCATGGTCACCGGCCCCTGCACTGCGTAGCTTATCCTCCTAGCAGCCCGGCAAAGAGCTACAGTCTCTACTGTCATTGCCCAGGGATGGGCAGGGAGACAGAGAAGCAGTGACTACCCTGAGACATCTCTGTATCCAGGTTAATGATAGCCCTTCCAAGATGGGGAGAGCTTTTGATAGGGGATGGGCAGAGGAACAGGGGATTGGACAGCAGGCCGTGTGTGTCCTCGGTCACTTGTTTTCCTACCTGAAGGACGGAAGAGAAGGCATTCGAGCCTCTCTTTCCCATCCAGAGCTGGTGATGGCTGAGGTAGGGTAGAGCATGGGGAGTGGGAGGGGGAAGGTAGCTATTTAGCCAATAGCCCAGCTTCAAGGAGGGACTGCCTTTCTGCCTAGAGGGCAGGGTGGGGACTTAGGACAGACCACATGTGGGGCTGTAACTGCGTCTCCATCCTTAGGACAGGCTGACCCAGGGCTTAGGACTAAGAACTAAGGATTGAGTTGCCCAAGAATGTCCCCAGAGAAGCTGCTGATCAGAATGAGTCACCTCCCAGCCCATGTTCTGCGCCCCACCCCCATCCTCTGGGCAAAACATGAAGAGCTCTGGTGGGAACTGGTGCCTGGTGCCTTAGAGCAGGACCTGTTGCTGCTGTGCCGCTTCAGGGAAGTCCCTTGCTTCTGAGCTGAACATCTGTCCCTTTAAATGGGACTCCTTGGCCAGGCATGATGACACACAACTTTAACTCCAGCATTCCAGAGGCAGGTGGATCTCTATGAGTTCCAGGACAGCCAGCCAGGGCTATATAGCGAGACCCTGCCAGAAGATAAATGAATAAATGGGACCCCTCCTGACCTGTCCTCAAGGTTAGATGACTGACTGGCAGGTGAGCAGGAGCAGCACCATACCCTCCCTTCACTTAGAGTGTGAACTGGGGCCTGGTCATTGCTGACCCCCAGTGTGAACAGGAGCCAGGCCCTTCCAGCTGCAGCCCAGCTTTGCAAATAAAGCAATAAAATCTACACGGCTGCATGTGGTGAATCACAACTATAAACCTAACACTCAGGAGGCTGAGGCAGGAGGATGGCCACAGCTTCAAGGCCAGCCTGGGCTACATCTTATAGCTAAAGTCATCCAGAACATCAGAGTAACAGCAGCACCTGCTGAAAGAGAGGAGGGAGGGAAGGAGGGAGAGAGGGAAAATAGCCCGTGTGTCTCATGCATACTGAAGCCTAGAAATGGAGTCTAAAAGCCAACCAAAGGCTGCGTGTCCTGTGTTTAGAAGAAAAGTTACCCTCTGACCTTTACATCCTTCTGTTTCTCATTTGGTTGGGACAACAGCTCATGAACCTGTTTTACCGTCCTGTTTCATAGTCCCAGAGAGGGGAAATAGCAGGACCAGGGACACACAGCATTTAGGCCACATCTATGTTGATGGTTTCTAAATCCGATTTCCCCCACACTGCCTTGCTCCCCACTCCCCCAAACACTGCCCGTAGGATCTGTGGAACTATCAAGCAGGACTTTGTTGACTGCACTCACTGTGAGTGACCCATTAGAGCATCATCTTTATTTTGGTACTCTTGCCACACTAGTAGACTTTCCCAGCTAGAGTAATTTTGTTTGTTTTTTCAAGACAGAATCTCACTATGTAGCTCTGGCTGTCCTGGAATTCACTATGTTGGCCAGGCTGGCTTTGAACTCACAGAGATCTGCCTGCCTCTCTCTCTTGAGTGCTGGGATTAAAGGTGTGTGCCACTATGTCTATCTTAGAATGATTGTTTATCTGCCGATTACCAGGCCCGTGTGTCAGACACATGCCTGATGCCTTCTTTGGCAAGCCCAAGCCTGAAGGAAGGTTAGGGCCCTGGAACCAGCACTCCAGACAGCATCAGCATCCTAGGGTGGCAATGGCTGTGACCCTGTGGAGCAGTGTGACAGCAGACTCCTGTCCCTGCTGCCCCAGTGCTTGGAGAAGGGAGAGCCCTGAGCTAAGCTGGTACTCTCAGCACCAGACACAACTCTTGTCCCCTCCTGACCCACCCTCAGTCTCTGCTGGCCTCCACCATTGTGTCCTCCCTTCTGTGGTCCTCTGTTTCTTGTCAATGTCCGCAGTGATGGTATCTGAAAAACGAGATGCCTCCCAGCCCGCATCCCAGCCCACATCCTTGGTTCTGTTTCATCGGCATCTGCTGCCCTCACTGCCCTGCCCCTGGGCTGGGTGGTCTCAGGCCGTCCTGTCCTTCCCAAGGGCAAAAGGGGGCAGGAAGGACCAGCTCCGCTTATGTCAGTGGACAGGCAGGCAGCTCTGTTCTGAATGGGGAAACTGAGGCACAACCAGCACTAACAGGCAGAGTTCAGGCAGGACCACACAGAGCCATTTGCATGTGCATCAGCCCCTTTCCCAGCCCAGGAGCTTTAATTCCTGAGGCCTCAAATGGCTGAGGACAGGGGCAGCAATGAGCAGTGGTGGCAGATCTGAGTGATTGAGAGATCCGGCCTTGGTGCTCATTACATAAAATTCAGACCTATCTACATCAGATAACACGTTCCCCCCAGAATCCTGCTTCTACCAGCCTGTCCCCCTGGCAACTGCTACAATGCCTGTCACCAGAGGACCCCCCCCCAGTTCTAAGCTTCATAGAAGTGGGGTTATGCAGTGTGTGTCCACCCTAGTGTGCTGTATTAACCCACTCCATGAATTTCTTGGAATCACCTACATTCTTGTTTCAATCATTCGTAACTTCTGAGTTGCATGAATGACCCACAGATGGTCCTTGTTTATCTTATCTTTATTAATGCAGATTTGTGAATAAAGCTGTTCTGTGTCTGTAGTTCCAAGGTGCCCAAGGCTGGAGCATTTTGAGTTTGAAGCAAGCCTAGGAAACTTAGTGAGGCCCTGTCTCAAAGAGAGGGAGGGAGAGAGGGAGGGAGGGAGGGAGGGAGGGAGGGAGGGAGGGAAGAAGAGAATGAATGCTGGGAGGTGGTGGTGAATGCTTTTAATCTCAGCATTCAGGAAGCAGAGGCAGGTGGATCACTGTGAGTCTGAGGTGAGCCTGATCTACAGAGCAAGTTCCAGGACAGGCTCCAAAGCTTCAAAGAAACCCTATCTCAAAAAATAAAAACAAAAACAAAAAAGGACAGAGAGAGAGGGGGGGAGGGAGAGAGAGAGAGAGAGAGAGAGAGAGAGAGAGAGAGAGAGAGAGAGAGAGAGAGAGAACCAAACCAGGGCTGGAGAGGTAGTTTAGGATACAGAGAACTTGCTGTTCTCCCAGAGGACCTGATTCTGTCCTCAGCACCCATGTCAGATGGCTCACAACCCCCATTACTCCAGCTCTAAGGGGATCTAATTACCTCTGGCCTCTGTGAGCATCCGCGCTCAAGTGCACGTAGCCATTTACAGACAGACGTGTGTATATTACAAGCAATAAGAATAAATCATTTTTTACAAGAAAAAGAGATGAGGGATGTAGCTCAGTGGTGCAGCCCTTGCCTGGTGTATGTTAGGCCCTGAGTTTAATCCCCAGAATTGAAAAAGCATCTGTCTCCTCATTCTCATCCACCGTATGTGCGTGTGCGTGCTTGAGCACACCCTGGATATCAGACTTGGGGTCTTTCCCTTCCTAAGCAAATGTTCTCACCACTGAGCTTTACCCACACTGACTCCGTTTTTAGACACTAGATAAGAAACTTCACCCCTGTTTTAGAAGAGGCAGACAAGATTTCCATACACCTGGACCTAGTCCAACTCTCCCATCCTTGACAGGCAAACTCCACTGCGATGAAGTCCCAGCCTGCATGGTACATTTCCTAAGGTGCT